TTGGGGTGAAGGAGAGATGATCGTAGAGGGAGTAGATGGGAAAGCACTTAAAGGAGGAGGGGGTGAGCTGAATCAGAGCTGCCAAGAAGGCAAATGAAGTGAGTGATGAGAGATGCCCCTTGGCTTTGGCAGTTTTTATAGGAATGGATCTTGGACAGGGTGTTGGTGAGGTCAGATGCCATTACTTGCACACTCGCTAACTGGAGTGAAGAGAGGGTGGACGGGGGGTCATAGATCTTTTAGGCACTTTGGCCTTAAAAGGTCAGAGGCACTGCAGGCAGCTATGGTGGATAAGGGAAGGGTTTCTTAAGAGGAGACAGACTGGAGCCTATCACATGCTGATGGTGGGGTTCTGAGAGCTGAGAGCTGGGAAGAATGCGGTGGCTGGGCTGGGATTTCGAGCAGAGCAGAGGAGAACTGTTGTGAATGCTGAGCTGAGGGAATTCCTGTCTGCAGTTGGACAGGTGGCAGGTTTCAGGATAGGAGCAGAGATCCAGGGACCCACAGCAGCATCTCTGGACCCAGTTGAGGGTGGAGACTGCATCTTTCTAGTCGTTCTGCCAGACCCAGCTGTGGCTAGGGGTGCAGGTGAAGTAGACATTTGGCTTAAGTCAGGATTGGGGTTTTTCCAGAGAAAACAGGGAGGAAAGAGATGACGCCAATGAGCCTGTGGGTTGTTGGCCTTGAGAGGGGGACAGTGACCGCTGGCCATCACTGCCAGCTTAGAATCCAGCTGCTGCTTTGTAGCTTTGAGACCAGCTTCTTCTGAGTCTCAGTCCCTCATGGAGAGTGCTCACCCACACCCCCCAGGGTTATGGGCGAGTTAGATGCAGTTGGCTGTATGTGTGATAGCATAGCCAGAACCACCTGCTGCTGTCAGCTGGGGTTCTGGGCACCGTCGGGAATGTTCCTGATCTGATCTGATGCCTTTGCCTGCCCCAGGCACGGTTGACCTGCCCCTGCTGTAACACCCGCAAGAAGGATGCAGTCCTTACCAAGTGCTTCCACGTTTTCTGCTTCGAGTGCGTGCGGGGCCGCTATGAGGCCCGTCAGAGGAAGTGTCCCAAGTGCAACGCAGCCTTTGGTGCCCATGACTTCCACCGAGTCTACATCAGCTGAACCCATAACTCAGGGGACTTTGGAACACCCGTGGGCCCTGGGGGCTGTGCCTCCAGCCCCTTCCCATCTAGCTGGTTTGGGGTCTCCAGTGCATGCTAGTGGGAGTGGGATGAGCCAAGCTCAGGCCCACCTTTTCTCGTCAGAGCTGAGGCACCCACCATGCAGGAAAGATCTGCTGTGAGCACCCAGGGGGAAACCCCAGGCTGTGACCTCCTATGAAGAGGAGACTCACTCACCTGCTTACACACCCACAAGTGAGGACCAGGGTGGGCCGGGTTCCAGCCCTTGTCCCTGCCTTCCAGGCCCTGGCAGGGCTTCTCCTGTGGAGTTCCCTGGGCTCTTTGTCTGGCTCTTGGGAGTGAGGTGAGGGGGAGGGTGTAGCGGGGGAGGGGGAGTAACAGTCCTCTTCCTGGGGAAGCTCTATGGTTGCTGCAGTCACCTTGCCCTTATTTTGGGAGTGCTGAACCAAGATCATCCCTTTCTATTCCAATCAGGCCCTCTGGGTATCTACTCTCCCAGGCCCTCTTACCCCCCTCATGCTTCCCACCCGTCCCCAGCCTGACTCTGCTTTCATCTTGGTGGCCTTAACTGCAGTGGAGGCAGAACTTCTGATCATTCCAGGTAGAAGAGCTTCATCTAATCCTGTAACTGAGCCTGTACACGATGCTTGCTGTGCTGCCTGCCCAGGCAGACTGGGCTGAGGGCAGCAGGCCTGGCCTGGAAGGTGGAGCTGCTGACAGGTGCAAGGGGGCGCTCGGACTCGCAGCCCCTGCTCTAGCGATGTCTTGTAATATAGGCTGTATGTCATGAATAAACACCCAACCTTCAGCCTGTGGTCTGAGGAGCCAGGTTCCATGCCCTAAACGCGGTTCCTGATTTTAGCTGCTACACCTGCCTTGCCGCTGCCCCGCCTGGCTGTGAACCTGGAGCTTCGGAACAGAGAGAGAGCCTGTTCCTGTCCACCCCACGAGGCTCCCGGCTGGGCTCCGGGAGGAAGAGCTGACCCTTGGGGGGAGGGGCTCCTCACACCTCTGGCAGTCATTGGCTGCTGGGATGCTGGGAAGCGCCCGGCTGCATCCTGGGAAATATAGTTCCCAATCGGCACCTAGCAACCAGGTCCGGGGGTGGGGGCGGGGAGCGGGTTCCTGGTTTTGCTGGCGAGAAGCGGCGCTACTTACTGCAAGGGGGGGGGGGGGGGGGGGGAGGGTTTGGTCCCCTCAGACGAATAAGTCGGGACACGTCGGTGTGTGGCTTTCTTCATTGCAATTTGTGCCGGCGGCTGGCCGGGTGTCGTGTGCCCCCTGGGAACCATTTCGAGTGTGGAGGGGTTCTGGGTTCAGTGAGCCGCCGGGGCGGAGAGCGCCATCACGGAGGCTGCACTGGGGCTCGCCCCGAGGCCGGTGCTGAGCGGGGTCGGTCCCGGCGCCGGCGCGGCGGCCATGGCCAGGGTAGCGGCCGAGGGCTTGGCAACATGCCCACTTTGGCGCGGCCCTGCGGTGGCGCCTTCACAGGGGCTTGCAGCCTTGTCTGTCGGTGGGACACACCTGGCGCCCAGGCTGTCGGCGAGGCCGCAGCGGCTGGACCAGATCGGACTGGAGACGGACACACGGGCCACCGGGGCTTCCTGCGCCGCGCTGGAGGTGGCGGGCACGCTCGCCGAGGCACGGGCTGTGGCCGGAGATGGCATGGAGCCTCCGAAAAAGACTGCGTGGCGCGAGGGCAGCCGCGGCAAGGGTGGGGAACACGCAGCAGGTTGCATCACAGTGAGGCTGCTTGGCGCTGAGGATCCCGGTCCCCGGGAGTGGGTCGGGGTCAGCCAATGCTCTGTGAGTCACCCCTTTCCCAGGAGCCACCTCCCTGGGGCTCCTTAGATGCAAGTTACTGCACATCGCCTCCCCAGGTAGCTTCCTTGTCCGGAGGAGCTTGGCACTGCTGGTGAGTCCTCATACCGCATGCTCAAGCTCAAACCCAAGGGAATGGGATGAGATGCCAGAATGGCAGTGCCAGGAGCAAGCACTGTTGCCACAGAAGTGCAGAGCAAACGCCACAAACCTCGGTCTGCAGTAGCTGCCCGGTGCTGGGAGGATCTGCTTTAGGGGCTGGACAGGCCCTTCCAGCCAGGAGATTTGGCCTCTTACAGCCCCAGTGGCCTCTGGCTGTGAGACCCTGGGTTCCTTGGATGGCCAGGCCAGAACTGACCTTGCCTGGCATCTTGATGGTGAGCAGATGTTGGCCTTCTGGTGAAGGTGCCTGTTTCAGCCACAACTAGGGCTACTGTCTGCGATTGGACCCAGGGTCCATGGGGCCCTTAGCACTGATCTCGCCAGAACTTCCCTCAGGTCTTGTGGTGCTACACTCTCCTAGTTTTCCTCAAATGGACTGTTTTTGCTGGTCCTCTTCCTTAGTTCTTTCTACTCTGCTTCTCTTCCTGGGTATGTTTTATCTGTGGCCACAGCTACAGCTAAGCTGCTATGGCCCAACTCCTCCAGCCCAGTTCTCTTTCCTGAGGCCAAACGTGGGGTGAGGTGGGGGGTGAGATCATGTACTCTCCTTAAAGTCCCCCAATGCTGCCCTGTGCCAAAGCTTCTCAAACAAGATGCCCCACACTCTGGCCTCTGCTCTGCCTTCCTTCAATCCCCAGCCCCCTGTTCTAAAGCCACCCCCAACTGTTAAGCACCCTTTATCCCCTGGCCCCTACCCACACCATTTCCTGTTGCCACAATCCTCATTCCTTAGGTCACTTCCTCCAGCCAGTTTCCTGATGCTTTGCTGTGGCAGGCACCATGCCTGGGTCACAGCCCCTTCTCCGTCTGAACAAATCACTACCCTAGCGCCAGTTCTTCCCTGGAGTCCCCTCACTTTACCGAGGACTCCTGTGCCGAGGCCAGTTCTGATGTGCCTCAGCTGTCCCAAGGACGGGACACGGGAATGCGGGGCGGCCTTCATTACCTCCTTTCCAGATGGGGAAGGGGGCGGAAAGGCAGGGAGCCTTTCCTGGGAGTCTTGGTCAGAGCAGCACAAGGAAGGTGGGGAGACAGCTTCCTGGCTGGAGCAGGAGTCTCCCGGCAGACTGGCAGGCGATGGGTTAAAGCAGGTGCTGACCTCAGGCTCTGGCCATGACCAGGCCTGGGCACAGAGGTAAGCCCAGCACTGAGGGTTCATCAGAGCAACCCTGCCTGGCCCAGTGTGGAACTCAGGCAGGCCAAACGATGGCGGAGAGGCTGGTTAGGTGCTCCTGGCCATTCACGTTTCCCTCCCTCCCTTGCCGTGGCTCTTACACAAGTGGCTGCCCTTCTCTGAGCCTCAGCCTGTACACATGGCGAGGGCGGTGGACTGCAGCCCGAGAGTGAGATGACAGCCAGGTCTCCTCCACCACCACCATTCCTTAGAGGCCAGGAAGCTGTGGTCCAGATAAAGGCCTGGGCCAGGGCCAGGACCCAGTGAACCAGGGAAGGTGGCCTCCAGCTTCTGCAACTCGGTCTTTGGAGCTTTCCCATATGGCAGTCCGGGAGGGAGCAAGTGTGTGGCCAGAGAGGCCTGTGGAGCTGCACGGCTGGACCTGAGCCAGCCGGCGCCAGTCACCAGGCAATCACCCAGGAGTCAGCAGGACATGCTGGTGCCAAAGCCAGACATCAGTCAGCAAGTGCCGCCTCGCTCTGCCACCACCTCAGAACGTTTCTCCCCTTCTCCCAAGGGTATGGATTTTAAAACTCAATAAACCTTCAGCAGCATGCGTTGGGTGGGGGTTTTAGGGCCTTGGGAAGAGGGCAAGGGCAGCCTGGAGCTGGGCTGAGCTTCTGAGGGTACATCAGACCCTGGCTCTCGGAGAGGGCACTCTCTCAGCTTGCTCTAGGGTTCAGAGAGAAGACAGAAAACACCTGGGAAATCTTACTCCCTTTATTCTCTCCTACTAATCAACATGACCACCAGTGACACAACACTTACTGACACACAACACTCAAAAGGGGGGCCTCTCTTCACTCCGGGGGCACAAGTAAGGTGAGTGGGGCTTCCCTAATGAGGGCGAAGGAGTTTGGGGCTGCTCATCTCGGGGGCAGGCGCCATGGAACCCCTCTGTGTGAGTTTCAAGTTTCCTCATCATCCAGGATTCATGCCCAGTTCTTTTGAGTTCCCTTCTGACCTCCATATCCATAGCAGTTTCGAGTTTCGCCCTAAGCTCAGATCAGTTTCTACTCTTCCCTCTGCTTTCACCGACTCTCTGACCCTGTCTGTTGGGCTCCTCAGTGAGGCACTGCTGGAGAGTCAGGCCTGCGTGGAGTTGGACAAGAGGCCTCAGGGCGATCCGGGCCTCTGCCTGAGCTGGTCAGAGGGACTCTGGACATCGCCGCCTCCCCCAACCAATCCCCTGCTCAGTTCCTCCCCAGATGTAACTTGTTCTGGGAGAGGAGCACCTGGCTTAAGGAGTTGGGGGAAGTGAGCAACAGAGAACAGGTCATACCCCAAAGGTCTCTGACTCTGCCCCTTTCCAGACCCCAACTCATCATATCCACATCATCCATTGAAGTACCGGAGCCTAAACTCCTGGCCCTAACCCGTTCCTACAACATGCGAGCATCCCACTACATATGCTACACCAAGTCCTCATAGGCCCGTGGCCAGCCTCTGACCACACGGACCACCTCCCCCTGGGCTGGCTGCTCCCAGGACTCCTCTGGAGACAGATTACTCAGACTGTTTTGGGGGTTCTGCTTCTACCTTTAAAGGGGTTTTGTCTATACTGGAGTTTCTTTCTGCTGCCATCTTAGAGGGAAAAGAATCTGCTTTGACAGACAGGACTGTGTCCTGTCGTCTCGCCGGGACTCCCCCTCTGGAGGCTTCCGCAGGCAGGCTCCTCCCCTCAGTAGGGCTTTCTGACCTTGCACTTGGGTTGGGTGGGAGTTGAATGCAGATGGCAGAGTCTCCCCACAGTCATGCAACCCCTGCCCTCTCCTCCCCAGCAGGCCTGGCTTTTTACTCCTACAGTGTTCTAGATTTTGACCCTTTAAATTTGAGGGGTATCCTTTTGGGGGCAGGGTAGATGAAAGGTGAAGGACTTCCACCTTCTGAACTTCAAGTAATGAAATGAGAGGCCTCTTCCACAGCTTCGCAGGGTTCCCGGTCACCCTCTCAGATGTGACTCCACCTCTCCGGCACGTTGGTTCTCACTTCAGGACCACAGTGCATTGCTGGGTGAGGGGCACTTCCTTTGGACCCAGCACTGGATGGTGTCTCCAGGGTGAGGGGATGGGTTCTTGTTACGGATGTTTCAAGAGTTTTCTCCAATCATTTCAGAGGGCAACAGTCTCTCTCCTGCCGCAGACACCCAGTCACGTGGGCAGGTCTGCTGGGTTAATGAAAGCGTGTAGCTGTGTGGTGTGTGAGAACAGATGGGCTGGCAGGGTGCAGTTCTCATCTTTCCGTCTCCCTCTGAAGGTTTCTGATTAAGGAGGAGAAGAGTCAAGTAGGTGGAATCCATCCCTTCCCAAGACTACAATCAGGGGGATTGGTCACTTTAGGGGCTCCAGATATGGGGCAAGGAAGGTGGTCAGGCCTCCATATACTCTCTGGGGGGGGGGGTTTGGGCACCATCACTGTGCGGCTGGCTTATCCTGCCAGCAGCGTTGCTATCAGCTTAGAGAAGAGAGTAAGGTTTAAGAGCAGATTGCTGACCAATCAAATCTCTGTTCTCTTAACTCGCTGTCTTGGTTGCCACAGGGAACCTGCGCACAGCTCCCACTGACTTGCCGAAGAGCACGCTAGAGAGGATCTGTGCACACACAGGCCTTGAGACTCTGAAGGGCTTTACTCTTTGGAGGTCAACTAGCAGCAGTTCTCCCTTCACTGAGGACAGAACTCAAGGACATGGCTGCCACTGCAGCGACACGGGCGGCAGTGAGAGTTCAGGAGGAACCTCTTGTCAGTGAGACCTGAGATGTCAGCAGGAGGGACCCTCCAGTCCTGGAGGCCTCTCAACACGGGAGTCCCCAGGAGAGGGTCGTCCTGCCTGGCTGGGGGAGGACCCGGTGGCCTGGCTGGGACCCGCTTGCACTTGCAGTTTAACAAGCTCCCAGGAATGGGGAAGACAGCGGAGTGAGCTGGGTTCCATCTGAGCAGTTCCTCTGCTTGGCTTCCTTCCCTCAAAGAATCCCGACTCTTCCCCCTGCATTTTTGTGGTGGTTCCCTGGTATTCTTACACTTCAAGTTATATGCACCCCAAACTTCAGCCTTTAAAAGGCTCAACGTCCTATTTTTTTTTCTTCCCCATTTTGGCTTCTTTCTGATAAGGAATTCAGGAGCCTCTTCATCTTCATACACTTTACCTAGGATTGGCCTTGTGCCCCGAGGAAGCCCCAGAGCAGCGAGCTGGCCTTTCTCCTCCTCCTTCCCGGGCTCTTCTCTGTGGGTCTGAGGGCTCTTCCTCACTTACTTTTGTCCTGTCTTTGTTTTCTTCCTTCTCCAGTTCCCATGTTACTCAGTGTAACTGTCCATGGCTTCTGGGAATGAGCCCCTCCCATGTGCCGGGAGAGGAAGAACACTGCTGAGCAAGTTCATGGGGGGGTCCTTTCACACCTTCCAAGGGCCACTGCTCCCAAGTCAACGCCATTGCTATATTCCCTGCGTTTCCCCAACCCTATAGCTTTACAAGGATTTCAGTACAGTTTCCTAAGGTTGTCTAGAGACATATGGGACCTCATCCTACAATTAATAGGGCTTTTATCCACTATGGTTTATAGGGATTTCTGCTACAGACTTAAAGGGCTTTTTTCCTACGTATTTATAGGGTTTCTAACCCAACGGTTTTTCTCTACTGCATTATAAGTGGTTCCCACCAACAACTTATAGGGTTTCTTACCACTAATATAAAAGCACTATTTTTACCCAGGGTCCTTTATCCTCCACACGTCTACAATCTGATAGGGTTTTCTTTCTTTTCTCGTACAATATCTGGGGAGATCCAGTGTTCCTCTCAGGAGAGAGAGGCCCCCGGCCTCCAGACCCACTTCACAGGGCAACCCCAGGGTGGCAGCTCCTGTGGAGAAGGAGGGCTGCGACCTCTGTGAAGCCATCTCCGCACTCGGGGCACAAATAGGGCTTTTCTTCCAAGAGAGTTTTGGGGGCTTCCCCATCCTCATGGCTACTGCTCCCTGCGGGTGTGGGGGCCTCGCTTTCACCTTCCTGACTTGGGGGCGGGGTGACTGGCTCTGGAAGGGGGTCTTCGGGTCTGGGGGACTTTTCCTGGGTGTGTGTCTCCTGGTGCCGGAGGAGGGCCAGGCGATCCTGGAAGGAGGCCCCACAATCTGAGCAGCTGTAGGGTCTGGCCCCCAGGGGGCTCCTGAGGTGCTCCAGGAGGACAGACGAGCTCTTTCCCAGCTCTGGGTTCTTCTGTGCTTTCCCACCCGCATGGACTTTCTGGTGCAGCAGCAGCTCCGAGCTGAGCCCAAAGCTCTTTTTGCACTCCGGGCATTTAAAGGGCTTTCTGCTGAGGAAGGGGCTGGGCCCTGCCCCTTCTGCTAGACCAATCCTGTAATCGGGAAAGAGGAAGGGCTTCTCGCTGCCGTGGGTGAGCTGGTGTTGGAGGAGCACAGCCCGGTCCAGGAAGCTTTCTCCGCAGTGGGAGCAGATGTAGGACTTGGAGAGCAGGCCCAGCCTTTGGCTGAAGCTCTCCTGCCCCTCGGGCGTCTTAAAGGGCTGTCCCAGGGCGTCCGCTCTGCCCTCCGAAGCACCGGGGTAGGAGTTGCCTCCAAAAGGGAGCCTGGGCGGCCGGAGCTGGGGAGGCTTGGGGGCTGGGTGTGCGAGGAGGCCGTCTGAGTTTTTGTAGGGGTTTTCTCCGATGTGGATCCTCTGGTGCTGCATGAAAATGCCCTCATCGTTGAACCCCTTTCCACAGACAAGACACTTGTGTGGTTTGGCTCCAGGGGGCGGGGTCAGCAGGGCGGGGTCCCCGAGCCCGAGCAGAGAGTCGCCCTGAGCTCTCCGGGCCGGTGTCTTCCCTCGTTCGTGGATCACCCGGTGCTGCTCCAGCTCGTGGGCCTCCAGGAAGGCCTTCCCGCAGTCGGAGCACACGAACAGGTTCTCGTCCATGTGGGTGCGCACGTGCGTGATGAGGTTGGAGCTCTGGCTGAAGCTCTTGCCGCACTCGGGGCACTTGTAGGGCTTCTCGCCCGTGTGGGTGCGGCGGTGCTGGATGAGGTGGGAGCTGCGGATGAAGCTCTTGCCGCAGTCGGAGCACTTGTAGGGCTTCTCGCCCGTGTGGATGCGCTGGTGGCGGATGAGCGTGGAGCTCATGATGAAGCTCTTGCCGCAGTCGGCGCAGATGTAGGGCCGCTCCCCGCGGTGGATGCGCTGGTGGTTGATGAGGTTGGAGCTGACGCTGAAGCTCTTGCCGCACTCGGGGCACTTGTAGGGCCGCTCGCCCGTGTGCGTGCGCTGGTGCCGCAGCAGCGTGGCGCTCAGCGTGAAGGTCTTGCCGCAGACCGGGCACTTGAAGGGGTCCTCGCGCAGGTGGGTGCGCTGGTGCTTGATGAGGGTGGAGCTGTGGCCGAAGCTCTTGCCGCACTCGAGGCACTCGTAGGGCTTCTCGCCGGTGTGCGTGCGCTGGTGCTGGGTCAGCTCTGAGCTCTGGATGAAGCTCTTGCCGCACTCAGTGCAGCGGTAAGGCTTCTCGCCCGCGTGGATCTTCTGGTGCTTGAGGAGGTTGTGGTTCTGGCCGAAGCGCTTGCCGCACTCAGGGCACTTGTACGGCTTCTCGCCGGTGTGCGTGGCCTGGTGCTGGATGAGGTCGGAGCTGCGGTAGAAGGCGCGCCGGCACTCGCCGCACTTGTAGGGCTTCTCGCCCGTGTGCGAGCGCTGGTGCTTGATGAGGTTGGTGCTCTGGGTGAAGGCCTTCTCGCACTCGGTGCACTTGTAGGGCTTCTCGCCCGTGTGCGTGCGCTGGTGCTGCACCAGGTTGGAGCTCCAGCTGAAACACTTGCCGCAGTCCGGGCACTTGTAGGGCTTCTCGCCGGTGTGCGTGCGCTGGTGCTGCACCAGGTGCGAGCTCTGCGTGAAGCTCTTGCCGCACTCGGAGCAGGTGTTGGGGCGCTCGCCCGTGTGGATGCGCTGGTGCCGCAGCAGCTTGGACCACTGGCTGAAGCTCTTGCCGCACTCGTTGCAGATGTAGGGCTTCTCGGCCCCGGAGGGCCGGCCTTGCACCAGCTCCCGCAGGCTGGACTCATTGGCGGGGACCACCGGGGGGCTGTTCCATGTGGTCAGAGTCCCCCACTGCCAGCTGGCCTCGCAGGCCTTGGTCCAGTCAGACGGGGTAGGGACCGCCTCGGGGGTCGGGGGGTCAAGAGGAGTCTGGTGGTCCAGGGGGTTGGGGTCACCCAATGGAGACGGGGGGTCCTGGCGGCCTGAGGGATCCGGGGAGGCTCTCTCCGGGGGCATCTCTGGTGGGTCCTTGAATTCTGGGCTCTGAGCTGGATCGCCCAAGATGATCTCTTCCCCAGAGCTTTCCTGCCGAGGGCTCTCCTCTTCGTTCCCACTCTCAGCACCTACAGAGAGAAAGGGAGTCTCCAGCCCCCATCTCCTTTCAGAACACGGGGTCCGTCTCTCCCTCCCCTGCGTTCCCCCAGAGTCTGGGCCCCTCCCTGGGCGGGGCCGCTGTCTTGTCAGGACCGCAGTCCCTGCTTGTGCCCCTCACCTCTGTGAGCATCGTTGGGGCTCTGTTCAGGGCCTTGCAGATCTGGGCCCCACAGCACCGCTTCCGGCTCCATCCCAGAGCTCAGGGCTGCCCAGTGTTCCAGGGACCCTGGGGGGGGGGGGGGTAGGGAGGGAGGGAGAGAGAGGAACACACAATGGGAGCGATCTCCCACTTTTTACTCCCATCCCCCCAGCTCACATTCCTCCTTATGTAAACTTCAGTTTCTGACCAAGCCATTTTTCTGGGCATTCATTTTCACTGTCCCTACCCATACCACTCCACAGGCCGATTCCTGGTCCAGATCTGAAGATCACACCAAGCAGGTAGATGAATGTGAGCGTGTAATTAAAAGCTCATCAGTCATAACCCTTTGAACCCAGCCTGGGGGCTGGAGAGGTACCTGACGCCCACAGGGTGAGAGGCTCTCTCCCCACCCCCATGACCCCGGGGGCTGGGAAACCTGTTATTTTGCTAATCAGAAGCTCATTAAGACTCTAATTTCCCTCCTTAATGGGGCTGCTAATTGGGACCAATAAACTTTCCTTAAGAGCCTCGCAGAGAACAGAGAACCAGGCAGAACCAGGCGCCTGGAACACTTCAGGAGTTAAAAAGTAGAGCCGCTCTGGCTCTCCCGAGGCGCCAGGAACAAGAACTGGGGCACAGTCCCCGTTCCCCAGCACAGAACGAAGGTCAGGCCGGTAAGGGGAGGGGGCATTTTAAAGCCACTAGTGGCTTGTGCAGGAATGACCTTGACAGGGGAGTGGAAAGGAAAAGCGAGAAGGAGAAGTGTGTGAGGACCACCAGCAGCGGCCACAGTGCTGTGTGCTGTCCTCGTTATCTCGCTCGATCTTCCCACGAGCCCTGAGGACCTGGGAATCAGACCATCCTTTTACAGGTTAGGAAACCGCCCTGGGGAGATGCTCCGAGACCACAGGCTGGGAAGAGGCACGGACCAGACATGCGAGGCTCTGTGCCCGGCTTGCCCCAGCCTCTGGGAGAGGACGATGACCTTGGGAGTCACGTGAAACTCATCAACGTGGGCTGCTGGCAGGGACGTGATGAGGAGCTGGGAGCAGCCTACAGGATGGGAAGGAGGAATCCTGGGACCGGAGGTCCTTGGCTGTAACAGGAGGGGTGGGACCGTGACCAGCCCGACCATTTGCACCTACGAACTCAAACAGTGCTCCCCAGCGACGCCCTCCGGCCAGCCCATCCTGGGACCCCTTCTGTGCCGCTCGTTCTGCCTGTCACTCCTGTATGCGGTGCCTCGGATGGTGCTGACACAGAGCAGGTGCTTGATACCTTCCGTTCGGGGATCGAAAATGAATGCGATGCCCTTGCTCCCGCAACACCTGTTTGTCCGATGCCTCTGCAGGTCAGTCTGCAAGGGGACCCCCGGCACAGGAGCAGCTGAGTGGCCGCCTGGGAGCACAGGCCAGCTCACTCGTAAAGGGTGATGTGCTTTCAGCAGAGGGAGCCGGACCCCAGAGCTGTTCCCACTTCCCATAACCTGAGACCCTCTGGGAGTCCCCGGGGAAGCCTGGGCTTCGGCTGCCCCTGGCTGGGTGTCGTGCGTGGGGGCGGCGTACAGACAGCCGTGCTAGGACTCAGGAGGCAGCTAGCACTCAGGAGGCAGCCGGGAGGCAAACCCAGGGAAACAGGAGCTAGAGGAGCCTGTTAAACAGCAGCAGGGGAGACGAGTTAGATTTTAGGAAGTCAATTAATTTCTTCATCGCTAGCTCCTTAGGCGATGCCCAGCTCCCTCCCCCGTTTTGTTGGGGAGTGGAAGGGGCTGCCTGTGCAGGAGGCCGAAGGTGTGTGCGGAGGACAGGTAAGATTGTGCACCGTGACCATCTTCAGACAGTCACCCTCAGTGCGGAGTGAGGGAAGGGTTAAGACGAGGCCGCCATGGAGGGTGAGGTGGGAAGACCAGGGAGCAAGAAGTGCTTGGAGCAGACCTAGGCCCAGGCCCTGACCCTACCTCAGCGGGTCCCACGTCGGAGGGTGGGCGGGCGGGTGGGAGGCGCCTTGCAGAGGCGTGGAGAGCGGCCCAGGGTGACCCCTAAGTGGAGGCGGGGTGGGCACGCAGCCATCCGGGTCTCCGGCCCCCCCACCCGCACCGGCCCGGTCCCGGGCTTCTGCTCAGCTGGTCCCCGCCATCCTCTGTGGGTTCCCAGCTCCCAGCCCCGGGCACCGGCATCCCACCCCCCTTCTCCCCCCTGCCCCGGGGCTCGCAGCCCCCACCCCTGCGGGGGGCGGGGAGTTCGCTCCGGAAAGCCCCCGCTCCCCTCCCCCCCGCCGGACCCTCGCGCTCCTCCCAGAAGCCTCGCCTCTGCCCCCCGCCCCCCCGCACCCTGGACCGGGGGCCGGGCCTGAGGGGCCGGCCGCCGCCGCCTGCCCATTGTTCCCCGCCGCCCGGCCGGCCGCCCCCCGGGGAACCCAGGGTCCCCCACTCACGGCTCTGGGTCCGGGAGAGGCCGAGGCGGAGTCCGGCCCCGGGGGACTTAACCCCGTGAGCGCTGCCCGGGGGCGGGAGCCGGTGCCGGGACTCTGGGGTCCTCCTCAAGGGGTGCTCCCAGGCGGAGGACCCAGGGACCGTTCAGGGTGACTGGGACGGAGCAGGAAGTGACCCCAGCTTCCCGGGTCCCTCTAGCCTGGAGTCAGAGCATCAGCTCTATGGGATTTAACCCTTCGCCGCCCGGGCCCGGAGAGAGCGAGGCCGGGAGCGGGCGGCGGCCGACTGGGCCCCGCTTTCTGTCTCCTGTGGGATCAGGTACCCGGGGGCCCAGGGCCGGGGAGGGCCCCCGGTTCCTGGCCTCTCGCCATCTCGCAGGGGCTCTGCCAGAGCCGAGGCAGCAGATGGGTGGCCGCTGTCCCCGGGGCCTGCCTTTGTTGGGACTCACCCCCAGAGATGGGCCTGGGCTTGGGGGCGAGCGCAGGGGCTGGCAGGGAGGGTCTGGGGGAACCTCAGACTAAAATGGTATAAATGAAATGGTAAGTCATAGCACAGTTTGGGAACAAGCAGCCGGAGGAGTCTGTGCCCGGCCCCCTCTCTGCCATTTGCTTCCCGCAGAGGAGGCCAATGGGGAGGAGCCCCTGACGGAGGGCCGGAGCCTTTCTCCCAGCTCCGGACACTCGCTCAGAACAAAGAACCTCTAACAGCCTGGGAACACGGTGGCCCCAAGGCCCAGGTCACCTGGCTCCCCATGTTCATATCCTTCACCTCATCCCTCACCACAACCCCCAGGTAGGGCCGCACATGGTCCCCATCTCACAGGAGGGAGCCACGGCGAGAAGCGAGGGAAGGTGCTGAGGGCCTCGCCATCGTTCCCAGCTGACACGTTTGTCGAGTCCTCGTATTCCTGGGCGCTTGGGGACCAGGTGGGGACACTCGGATGTGAACAAGAGCCAGGCTTCCTATCCTCAGAGCGTGAAGGTGTGTGTTACAGGCACTAAAGGGCTGTCCGTCCAGGCGTGAGGGCCGGGGAGGAGCGCTGTAGTCAGAAGAGCTCCTTGGGCCGCTGTCTGGGTCAGAGAGTGGCCACGGCAGGAGAGGCCCGCTGGGCAGCCCCTTCTCCCGCCCCAGGACTGCCTGCCTCACTTCCTTCCTCACTGGGCCTGTCTCCATCTTATCCCTGCGCCCATCGCCCCCTCTCCCTCGCCCTCACCTCAGGGCTTTTCCCTCCCAGACCCCTGACCCGCCTGTTTCTCACAGCCCGAAGCATCCCGGCGGAAGGTCTGTTCCCACCGGCCTCTGCCCGGCTCAGCTGGGCACTCACGTTCGTGTCGGCTCATAGGGCAGGGACACGGCCTCTGGTCCTCGCTGAGTCTCCCCAGCACCTAGGACAGTGACCGGCGCGGTTAGCAGGTGCTCTGCATGGAGCAGAGCCGGTCACTGACTTCATGCACTGCCCCGTCATCTGTCTCCGGATCAGTTCCCCGCAGGACAGACGGGCAAACCTGCCAGAACCTCCACTGCACACTCCCATCCGCTCCCAGCACCCCTCTCCGCTCACCCTGAGACGCAGGTGTGGGCAGGACAGCGGGGACCAGAGAGACCTGGGGCAGGTCCAGCCCTCCCTGTCCCTCTGGCGTTCCCGGGCTGTGGAGGCCTGGCCCGGCCCTGGGATGGGTCCATAGAGAGCTGGGCCTTGCAGGCTCATAGAGGCATTGAATTTGGCCTTCGCAGTTTTATTTTGTTTTAAACTGAGTTAATTGCCACACTTTAAAATCATTACATTTCATACAAACCCACATGCCCTACTTCTTTGGAAAAATACAAAGATATGGCAACATGACTTTTTATTTTTAATCCTCACCTGAGGATACTTTTCCATTGATTTTTAGGGAGATTGGAAGAGAGAGGGAAAGACGGAGAGAAACATAAATTGGTTTCTGCCTGCACAAGCCCTGACCAGGGCCCAGACCAGGGAGGAGCCTGCAACCAAGGTACGTGCCCTTGACCGGAGGTGGAGTCTTTCTCTGATATCTATGGCCTCAGATGTTACAAAGACACCTGTAGGTGGGTAACAGAAAGGAGACAAGGGCCCTAGCTGGTCTGACTCAGTGGATAGAGCATCGGCCTGCGGACTGAAGAGTTCAGGGTTAGATTTCAGTCAAGGGCACATGCCCAGGTTTCAGGCTCCATCCCCAGAGGCAGCCAATCAATGATTCTCTTTCATCATTGATGTTTCTCTCTCTCTCCTTCTCCCTTCCTCTCTCTGAAATCAATACAAAAAAAAAAAGACGAGGGAATTTGTAAGTTGCGTTTGCTTACACTAGTACCTTGCTTGGTTTGGAGAAGGACTTAAGGCATTTATAGAGCTACATATACAACAGGTGCCACTAAATGCTGGCTATCATTACTGATAGCAGGGGGAATAAAGTATTTTTTAAAACATATCTTTATTGATTTCAGAGAGGAAGGGAGAGGGAGAGAGAGAAACATCAATGATGAGAGAGAATCGTTGATTGGCTGCCTCTTGCACCTCCCACCCCCCCCACCAGGGATCAAGCCCGCAATGTGGGCATATGCTCCTGGCTGGAATCTAACCAGGGACCCATCAGTCTACAGGCTGCCGCTCTATCCACTGAGCCAAGCTGAACTAGGGCGAGAATAAAGTATTAACAGGACAGGAAGTCAAATGATAAAGGGAAAACATGGGGAAAATGGTAACAGGAATCCAGGGCTGGTACACAAAATGTGACATAAGCTCTGCTTTACAGCTGCTGAAAGTGGGTACAGATCGGCTGACATTTCTAGAGGCCATATAAATACCTAATTTATATGAAGCTTGGAGAAAGTTCTCTGCGAATCCCCATTGGTTTGTGTCATTAATATCCACTCACCCTTTTTTTGGAAATTGGGATGTCCTTTGTCTATCTCCAGTTTCTGTGTCTCTTTTCCAAGGAGTCAGGTGACTTGGAGCGCTCTCTGGCAAATTATCTCATTTTATTTCTCCCCATAAGATCAGGAGACGTGGACTAACTCAAAGCAGCACAGGCTTCCTTAACATTTCACACCTCCAATGTTAGATTTCAATTCCTCTTACCAGTGTTTGTTATAAAACAAATCTTGTAATGCAAATAAAAACAACCGTGAAATATTTTACATCTAAGGCTATCGAATATAAAGAGTTGGATATATATACTATGTACAGAAACAGGCACTCTCAAACATTATTAGTAAGAATACACATCTGGCCATAGCCGATTTGGCTCCGTGGATAGAGCACGTTGGCCTGTGAACTAAAGGGTCCCAGGTTCGATTCTGGTCAAGGTCATGTGCCTGGGTTGCAGGCTCCAACCCAGTAGGGCGCATGCAGGAGGCAGGCAATCAATGATTCTCTCTCTTCACCACTGATGTTTCTATCTCTGTCTCCCTCTCTCTCTCTTCCTGAAATCAATAAAAATATATTTTTTTTAAAAAAGAGAGAGAATGTACATCTTCACTGTCTCTTTGGAGGAAGGAAAATTTGGCTACACTGGTCAAATTTCAAAATGCCCACCCCCTTTGATCCAACAAGTCCACTTCTAGATCCTACAGGTACAGTGATTGCACTGAAATGTTCTTCTGGGGGCGGGGATTAGGGGGAGAGATGAACCCGGGAACTTATATGCATACCCCATGGACACAGACAATAGTGTGGTAAAGGCTTGGGAGAGGTAGGGGTGGGAAGGAGGTTAATATGGGAAAAAGTCAACAAAAAAACAAAAGGGACATCTGTAATATTTTCAACAATAAAGATAAATTTTAAAAAATTTTTCTTCCAGTAGCAAAAGACTGAAATACCCTACATGTTCCTTAATAGGGGAGTTGATTAAATAAATTATGGCATATCCACATAATGGAATAGTCATCAACTGTGAAAATAAACAAAGCATATATATATTTTAAAAATTCTCCAAAATATGTTGGTGAAAAATGCAAGGGGGAAAGCAAGTAACTATCATTTTGTGTTTTTCTTTTTTTTAAATTTATTTTATTGATTTTTCACAGAGAGGAAGAGAGAGAGTTAGAAACATCGATGAGAGTTATCCATCAGCTGTCTCTTGCACACCCCTACTGGGGATGTGCCCGCAACCAAGGTACATGCCCTTGACCGGAATCGAACCTGGGACCTTTCAGTCCGCAGGCCGACGCTCTATCCACTGAGCCAAACCGGTTTCGGCCATTTTGTGTTTTTCTATAAAGTGATGCTTGTCCTAGCTGGGTTCTCAGTGGTTAGAACATTGCCCCTAGGACTGAAGCGTCTCAGGTTGATTCTGGTTAACGGGAATGTACCTCGGTTACAGCTCGACCCGTCCCCATGTGCAAGAGGCAATCAATCGATGTGTCTGTCTCACATCAGTGCTCCTCTTTCCCTTTCTCTCTCTCCCCGTTTTCCTCTCTAAAATCAATAAAAACATATCCTCAGGTGAAGATTGAAAAAATGGCAAATCAAACTGGCCTCTGAAGTTTTCACTGGTGGTGTGAAAGGTTGGGCTGGATGGTAATTGTTTGTGCACGTTAAAATGTGGCTTTGTTTTATCCTTTGGATATCTGCAACTGGCTTCTTTTTAAGGTCACAAGATCCTCTTAAGCAAGGATGTGTTCATTCTGGGGCAGCACTATTCACTGTTGGTTTTTTCTGCCTCCTCAGCTTAGGGCGTCTCTGGCATCCTCATGGGTTTTGACAAATTAGTTTGGAATTCCCAGAAACGGTTTCCAAAACTAGAAGTGCCATGTGGAGAGGAACAGCTGCACCCGAGGACCAGAGCCTTGTGCTCAGACTCTGACATACACTCAGTTTTAACCTGTTTCTTCATAAATGGGGACAATAACCACGGAGCTGCCCTGAGGACACAAAGAGAAGGTATGTGGCTGTTTGACATGAACAGAGAAGGATGATGGGCAGGTACAGAAACTCGCCAGGGCAGAAAACTCCAGATGCCTAGGCTAACCAGGGAAAACTAGGACCTTGCCTCCAGGGTGACCTGCCCTCCCCTAGCTTATCTGATCAGGCGGCTTAACCCCCCCGGCCTTTTCCTCCCTAAGATAACATCAAGGCCTCAGTTGTGTTTCAGCTCCAGGCTCAGAAAAGCAGCAAAACCAGGCAAGTGATGCCAGGATGCCTGGGCATCAGCTACACTAATGACCCTGCCCTGGCACCGGCCAATCAGTGGAGACCCTGACCCTGACAGAGCACAGCTGGGAAGCTGATGGATATTCTAACAAGGCCCTCCCCCAAGATTTCCAGCTGCAGGAAAGCGATAAACATGCTCAGGACAAAGGACCAGCACCCGCCCTCCCTCCCAGAAGCAACCTGTGTCACTCCCCCCCAGACACGATTCCCCAACCTCTCAGGGGCCAATGAGACCCCCAACCAGGGAGCAATGGGTAGTGGCAGCTCGTCCCGGGCTGAACCCTGAACCTGTCTCCAAGGCCTCCTTTCTCTGACCTCCTAGGGAGCCACCCAGCCTGGGCGCTCCTGCTTCTCCCAGGCCCTTCCTGTTTCACCGCCCTCAGTGTGCTTCTGCTCCACCCTGGGCCCAGCACCTTTCGGCTCAGTGCTGCGTAGCCCTCTCCTTTGGATTTCCCAGTCCCTCTCCCCCTCTCCTTAAATGCTTCGGTTTCTCTGTTCCCCGTCTGAGATGGCTGGTTAGCCCGCCCGGACACCACCTGCTGCACGCTTCCACGGGCACAAAGAGGGCCCTCAAGAAGAGGTGTCGTTTCCACGCTGTTCCTTGTTTTCACATCACTAAACGGACTCCCTAGGAAGGCAAAGGCCTTTTTAAAGGTCGCAGTGAAGTAACAGCTGGCGTGTATTAAGCCCGGATGAGACAGGCCCTGTTCCCGGCGCTGCACGTGTGTTAACTCACAGGGGACTGCCAACGAGCCTTCGCGGTTGTCGGGTTATTTTACAGACGTGAGAGCCGAGGCCCAGAGAAGGTGGGCCACCCGTCCGGCTGCTCAGCACCTCAGCCGCTGGGACTGAACTCCGGCGGCAAGGTCCCAAGTGCCCTCATCCAACCTCCCTCCCGGCCACCAGCGGCCCCTCGGGCGGAAGGGAGCGAGTCCCTCCGTGGCACAGCCGCCCGCGTAGCCGCCTGCACAGCCCTCCCTCACAACCATCCCTCACGGCCCTCCCTCACGGCCACCCCTCCTAGCCTCCCTCACGACCATCCCTCACGGCCTCCCTCACAGCCTCCCTCACGACCATCCCGCACAGCCTCCCTCACGGCCACCCCTCCTAGCCTCCCTCACGGCCCTCCCTCACGGCCTCCCTCACAGCCTCCCTCACGGCCACCCCTCCTAGCCTCCCTCACGGCCTCCCTCACGGCCACCCCTCCTAGCCTCCCTCACGGCCTCCCTCACGGCCCTCCCTCACGGCCATCCCTCACAGCCTCCCTCACGGCCCTCCCTCACGACCATCCCTCACGGCCACCCCTCCTAGCCTCCCTCACGGCCACCCCTCCTAGCCTCCCTCACGGCCACCCCTCCTAGCCTCCCTCACAGCCTCCCTCACGGCCCTCCCGCACAGCCATCCATCCCAGCCGCCCGCACAGCCGCCCGCAGGGCCGAAGGGGTTATTCCCAAGGAGACGACACGCCCCGCGCTCCGCGCTAGAGCGGCGCCGCCGGGGGCGGGAGCACGCGCACTTCCGGCCGCGCGGGGCTCCGGGAACCCAGCGGCCCGGTCCCGCTCGCGGCGCTCGGCTCCCGGGCTCCCCGCGGGGCCCGGTCCCCCGCAAGGCCCTGGCCCAGGCACCCGGCCCTCCCGTCTGAGAGGGAGGCCTGCGGGCGGGGAAGGAGGGGAGGGCCGGCCGCGCAGACCCGGAGCGCGGGGCGCGTCCCTGAGCTTGGCCGCCGCAGTGCGTTCTGGGCCGCCCCCGCCGGCCGGAGGCACGTGGCGGCGGAGTGTCCGGCCGGGCGGGTGGCCGAAGCGGGCGCTCCCCGGGCGCTCGGGCCTCCAGAGCCCGGTAAGAACGCACTCAGTCCCCAGGGCTGGCCGCGCCGCCGCCTTTGCTCCCCTCAGCCGCCCTGCGCAGCCCGCGGCCTCACCCCGGTTTGTGGGCTTAGAAACCCCGTTACACCGCCCGTCGGGACGCCCTCACCTCTCACCCTCTGCTTAGTCTCATCTTGGATCCAACCTATCTTTCTAGTCCCATTCCACCATCTCTCAACCTCATCGTGACAAACCCTAGCTATTGCAGGAGCCTACAATCCCGCCTGCCTTTATTTCACATCCACTGCCTTGTTCCACAAACCATATTTGATCCTTAAAACGAAAACTGTGAGCTCACGTCAAACTCTTGGACGTGGATTTATGACCATTTGAAACTTGGCTTCAGCCCACCTTTCTAAGTTTGTTTCCCTTGGTTCCCTAAGTAGCTACTGTTGGAAAATCGGCCTCAAGTGCTCCACAAAGTGTCTTTGTAAAATTCAAGTTGATGCTTATTTTAAAATTGGGCAACTTCATTGAAAAGCCCATGTTTCCAGCTTCTTTTGAAACATCCGTGGAGCTGGCAGCAGTGGGCTGGCGTTCTCGCATCCAGAACCTGGTTTACACCGAGAAGTGGCTGGCCCTGACGGAGACCTGTGTCCCCAGTTCGCCTTAGTCTCTTCCAAACACTCTTATCTCTAAGCCTGAGGATCAGCTGCTGTGCTTGCACTGATGCTTTTCATAAAATAGAGGAAGATCGTTGGTTTTCGTAGATCTATCAAAAGTGCACAGATGGAGAGTAGACCAAAAGACAACAGAGAGGAAGCACGAAGCCGCCTCGACCTCCTCGCTCTTACCCCATAGCCATTTGAATTCTCTAATCGGGCCCCAAGGAATCCCTCCACGCAGCTAGATTACTGCCCCACAGCCTCAGTGAATGCGAGGGCCATATCTTTGCACCATCGCCACAGAGTAATTTCTATTCAGCAAGGTCCACGCCAGACCTACCCTGACACCTTCCCCGACAACCAGCCATCCGACCAGCTCCACCCATTCATCTCGGCATTTTGGAGGCCACGTACTGGGTTAGATGGGTATGACCAAGCCACCACCATCTCTCCCTCCTCTGGGTTTCTGTCGCTGTGCCTGAATCGATGTCTTACACGTGGTGGGTGATCAGTAAATAATTATTACCTGGGTAAGTGGCACAGTCACAAAACATTAGCCCCCTAGTTAGACTGTAAGATCTTTGAGAGCAGGGTTCAAATTGTGTCTCTGCACTGCCCTAGCAACCAGCACAGTGCCTGGCACATAGCTGACACTTGGTAATGTCTGAGAAAATACGTGCCATAATAGGGAGGGGGCTCAGACCAGCAACAGATACGGAGGTTCAATCCTGCCCCACAGCTGGGAGTATAACCCCTCTCCCTCCCCTCCCCCCACATCATCCCCAAAGCCTTCTAGAGAGCAAAAGCCTTACTCAGTTTTAAAAATGGGGAGAACTTCACAGCACCTTGACCTGGAGGCTCTGCTCAGATTCAGCCAAAGTCACATTCAGGACCCAGCTATGTCCGTGTGACCTTGTGAGCGGAAACCCAACCTGATTCTGATTCTAAATTCCGAGCTCTAGAACAATAGCTCACATGCACCGAGGCGCTCTCAGAGCCACGCACGGCCAAATGCTTTGTATCCATGGCGCCTTCCATCCTCACCACCACCCTGGCGTCAACATTGTTCTCTTTGCAGGTGAGAAGGCGGAGGCTCCAGTGTTTCCGTCGCTTGCTTACGGCCAATAGTAACAGTTGGACCAGGAGTTCAAGTCCACATGGACTGATTCCAGGCCCCTGTGCTTAGTACTGTGTCCTTCGGAACATCTGAGGCTGAAGAGGGATGCTGGGCACGGCCCAGAGACTCAGCTGTCAGCCAATTTGGGCTCTAGGTTACATGCCAAATAATAAACCTCATGCAGATGCCAACCCTCAGTGCCTTTTCACTCTTTTTTTTTTTTTTTACATTCTTCTTTAACTCTCTACCTAAGGCATTAAAATATGTATCTTCAGAACCAAGAAACTAAAAAGTCCAAAAAGAAAAGGTCATATTTTGAAATATCAAACTGACATTGTAACTCCAAACTCTTGACGGACTAGCCAGTGCTCACAAGAGGAAGGGCAGAGGGGGAGCAGCAGTGAGCGGAGCCCCCAGTGCCAGGCGGGACCCACAGGCTTTCAGATTATCTCGAGGAATCTCACAAGCACGAAGGTAGTCGTTCTGTGGTGCAGAAGAGGGGAACAAGGCTTTCACACGTACAAGCTTGCAGAAGGATGCTGAGGCCGGTGCTCGATCCGAAGCATGCCCAGGCTGTCGGGAAGATGTCGGCATCCAGCCTCCCTCTGGGTCAAAGAAGCTGTTGACTTAGGAGTTCTAGCTCCATCTCACCTTAGTCCCTCAGGGTCCAGATGTCCTTCTGACCTCCTCCTCCTCCTCGTGTTCCAGATCGTTTTTAGATGGGCCCATATGAGCAAAACAAAACACACACAAAAAGGGCCTCTGTATCTCCTTTGCCTCCTACCTATGAATTTGTCAGGTTTACAAAATATTCCTGTAAGGCTCCCTTTTTATTACAAAAGTGCACCACACATAGTAGGTTCGTTCCTTCCTTCCTTCCTTCCTTCCTTCCTTCCTTCCTTCCTTCCTTCCTTCCTTCCTTCCTTCCTTCCTTCCTTCTTCAGTAAATACATATGAGTGCTTACTCTGGACTCTTCTAGGTGCTCAGGTAATAGTTGTGAACAAAACATAAAAATTAACAACCCCCCCCCCCCCAAAAAAAAAATTCCAGTCCTTACAGAGGCTAAACTCTAAGGAAAATAGAGAAACAAAATAAGACAAAAGTGGAAAAGGGCTTGGCATTTTGGCTAGGGGGCCAGAGGAGGTTCTGAGAAGGTGAATTTGAAAAGACTTGTAGCAGACGTGTAACAGTCAACTGCGGGCTGCTCCCTCCAAGAACTCTTCCAGCCGGGCTTGTGTGGCTCAGTGGGGGTCCTGGGTTCGATTCCGGGTCATGGTACATGTCTGGATTGCGGCTCAATCCCCAGTAGGGAATGTGCAGGAGGCAGCTAATTGATGTGTCTCATCAATGTTTATATCTCTCCCTCTCCTGTCCTCTCTACCTAAAAATTAAACAAAAAACAAAAAACATAAAAATAGAACTTCAGCAGGAAGACAACCCAGACCCTGAGGAAAGCTACTCAAACGCTATTGAAATAGTTTAGGAGGGGGACAATCACAGACTGGAAGTGATTCTTTGCCTTCTCAACAGTCCCTTTTGTGCTTTCTGATTTTGCTCTAGACAGTGGCTCACTTCTCCCATTTCCCGTAAGACTCACGTCTATTCTGCCAAGCCTGTCCTTCCCTGCTTTTCCCAGCGCTGTCCAGGGCGGCCAGGAAGTGAGGTGGCAGCTGAGCAGATGAGCAGGTGAGCAGGGGAACTAGCACGCGTCCTGCAGTTGCAATGATCCAGGCAGCGTGTACAGTGGTGGCCAGAGAGGAGGTGGGCAGCCCGGGGCTGACACCCCTGGAGACTTAGGGAGCGTCTTCAGGGGCAGATGGCCGGGACTGCCACCAGGTCTCCTAAAAGTGAGGTGTAAACACACAGAACTTGTTTGTTTTGGGTATGTCTCCTTGTGGTAAAATCCACGTACTGTGCAAGTCTATTCACAGAGCTGTACAATCATAATTTTCAAACATTTTCATCACACCCCAAAATAAACTTTGTATCTGTAAGAAGTCACTTCTTGCCACGTTGAAGCAGCTCAGTGCTTGAGCATTGACCTATGAGCCACAATGGGATTCCCAGCCAGGGCACATGGGCTAGGGTTGCAGGCTTGATATCCAGTAGGGGTGTGTAGGAAACATCTCTCATTGATGTTTCTATCTCTCCCTCTCCCTTGCTCTCTCTGATATCAATTAAAAATATTTAAAAAGTCACTTTTTAATTCTCAACCTCTACCCCCTAGTCCCACCCCAAATCTAGGTCACCACTAATGTTCTTTCTGCCTCTGTAGATATGACATAAATGGCATATTTGGTTTTTCACTTTACTTTTTCTTGGAAGGTGGGTGACCCCGAAGAATATTACAAAGGGGGATCAAAATATCAGAAATTGAAAAGCTTGCCCTAAACAGCTAGCTCAGTTGGTTAGAGCAACATCCTGATACACCAAGGTTCAATCCCTGGCCAGGGCACATACAAGAAACAACTAATGAATGCATAAATAAGTGGAACAACAAAGCTATGTTTCTCTCTCCCTTCCTCTCTCTCTTTCTCAATCAATCAATCATTCAATCAATAAATAAAGTTGAGAAGCTCTTCTGGGAAGATAAGGGTAACAGAAAAAGCAAGACAGGGAGATAACTTGCTTCTGTTTCATTTTTTATCGCTCTGATTCTGCGTTGTAAGTTACCCCAGATGTCCATAGCATAGGGGTACTAAGCAAATGAAGTGGGAAATGTTCCAAAGAAATTATCTTTTTTGTCTCTGGAAGATTTACCTGCTCTTTCATATTTATGCCTCCTGTTGGCCAACACTGTGTGTAAATGACTGATCATTGTATCAAGTCAGAAAATCTGGGTTTTATAGAAGCAGCCTGACTTAGCTGCTTTCAAAACTTTCCATAAAATGAAGGGGAGGGGGCTAAAGGGTAGAGGATTAGTTCACTCTCCAGCATCATCTCCCGAGGTGCAGGCAATTAGCCTTTCCAGTATCTGATGAAAGGCCCTGTTTCATCTTTAGGTGCCCTTCTAGACCTTTCCTGCCATTCCTGGGACTTCTGGGCAGAGAAAGTGAAGGATGAGAAGGTAGCAATATGAATTGCTGACCATTTGTATAACATGCCATACATTTACAAAGCCTTTACACGTGTTGTCAAGGCTGTTTCATAGTTAGGAAGAACTGGCAGGGACCTAAAATGACATCTAGCCCAATCCCTTCACACCGAGATGGGAACAAAGACTAAAAATAGGATGTGACTTGCTAAGTAAGGCCTCGGCAGCACATGAGTGCCCGGCTGGTTCTGGGCTTTCTCATCCTGACCATCACACTTGGAAGCCAAACCCAGAGACTTATAAGAAGAACCGAGCCTGTCAGCCGGTGCCGACTTCTTGTATTGAGTCCAATCCCTCTTTTAACTGGGACTTGTCTAAATTGCCAGCCCCCGATTGAGGTTTTCCAGAATTTACTGGACCTGGATCCAGACCTCCAGATTCGCAAGGCAGCCTGCGAGCGTAACCCGGGCCGGTGATCACAGGGACCACAGGTCAGAGACAGCTCTCCCTGCGCCAGGCCGTGGGGTGACTCGGCGGACTCAGGGGTCCCTGCCTTTGAGATCCCCTCCCAGACCGAAACCGCCAGGTCCTCGCAGCCAGCGGAGAGCCAATCCCAGGCCGCGCCGTGATGGGGGCGGGACCTCCGCGCCCTCTCCCCGCCCACCTTATTCTGGGCAACTGAAAAGCGGTGCGGTGACCTAGGCAACGCGCCCAGCGTCACTTCTACTGGCTAGATTGCTGCGTCCCGCCCCTCTTGGCAAATTAAAGTGAAGTCCTTTAAGGGGCAAAGAGGACGGCGATTTTGATTGGCTGGTTGGATGCGTCAAGTGCAATCATTGGAGTGTCTGGGGCTGAGAGAAGGGACCTCGCCCAGGTTAGACACGGTGAGGGCGGGATGCACACTTTTGAGAAGCTGAGCAGAGAAAGGACTAAGGTGACTAACAATCCGGTGTGTCCAGTTCAAAATAACGGTTCTCCCAGGTGTGGATGAAGGTAGTGGGACTCCAAGAACCCCTGGGTCCCCCCATCAGATATTGTTATACCTTATCCATAGTAATATTGTGGGGAATGTGGGCATTTAATGTTTAACACTTACTGAGTGGCCTTTGTGTGCCAGACACGGTTCTAAGTGTTTGGGCTCCGTGAACAAAACAAAGATTCCTGCCTTCTTGGAAGTTTGTATTCTGACAGGAGGAGAAAATACATTACGTAGGCCGTGGGGGTGAGGGAAAGTAGAGCAAGTTACGGTGGAGGGAGAGAGACAGAAACATCAATGATGAGAATCATTGATTGGCTGCCTCCTGCACGACCCCAACTAGAGGTGGACCCCAAAACCTGGGCATGTGCGTTTGACTGGACCGGGACCCTTCAGTCCGAATGCGGATGCTCTATCCACTAGCCAAACCAGCTAGGCCATGCCTTATATTTTAAAATAACCATGCTGGCTGCTGTGTTGAGAATCAAAGGGGGGGGGGCAGTGAAGGGCAAGAATAGAAGTGGGAGGCCTGCTAGGTTATTGCAGTAATGCATGGCACAATGTGTAAGAGATGATGGTAATTTGTATGGGGTGGTGGTGATAACGTGGTCAGATTCTGGATATACTGTGAAGATGGAGCTTATGTTAAATGTGGGAGGGAGCAATAGAATAGAACTGCCTGTCATCACGGAAAAAGCAGCCTTGTTGCTGAAACAATGGAGCCCCAGGTGCTGATCTTTGAATCCTTGGTCCACATTACCTGAAATCTGTAACCATTGTGCCCATTCTCATTCCTGACCTGAGTCCTGGCCTGCAGCCTCAACAACTCCGGAAGCTGTATCTAGCTTTCTGTGACTCTGAAAGGAGGGAGCCTGTCATTGCCAGCATAACAAAAAGGTTAACCCTTTGTACACCATAAGCATCTATAGGCACTAAAAAATCATTTCCATGAGAAATGTGTTCACATTCAAGAACACCCAAATTGTAACATTTATTTTTATAATATTCATTGCAAGTTGATTTCTTTAAATTAAATTCAAAATATCGTGGCATGCGGGGGTGGTTTCTGTTTGGACGTTTGGCAGTTAACTGAGCAGTACAGTCAGCAGGGCTCCACAGGTGGCCATCATCATCGCAGCCACAGCCACGAAAGTCGCTTCTGGTCCCCATCCTGTGATATTCTCGGGGCATAAGGACGGTCAGTCATCCTAAGGAACAAGGTCCCCAGCGCTGTAGGCAGGGACATATGACTAAGCAGGTACCTCACAGGTCAGAAACCAATCAGCTGGCAGGTTAGTGTGTCCATCACTATAAGGAAGGGTGAAGTTGCCAGAACAATACATACTGTAGTTATTAGATTCTGAAAGACGGTAACCAGAACACCCGGTCAAAGCCAGACACTCA